CTTGCCTCAAAACCTTCTCTACAGTTCTGCTGGTTCAAGCACACTTGCGGCGCAATCCTCGATGCTTCCGCAGGGCAGTGTGGTTAATGGAGCCACTCGAGCTGGACGCGGTGAAAGAGTTTGAGGCGGCTGACAGACTGGTGAGCGCGAAGGTGCGAAATGGCGGCTGGCAACAGCGGGTGACTGCCACGAGAGTACGGCAAGGGGAAGGTCCTCTGCGTACAACCGCCGTTGATGTCGAAACCGACCCTGATTCCTTCTCCATTCGAGTCCTTGCTACGCAGTTTTGGCCGCGCAGTAGCGTTGTGGATTGGATTGAAGGCTATTTGGCGGCGGCCACCAAGAGTGGGCCGAGGCAAAAGACGTCATGTTGGTGGTTGCGCAAGCCTACGCAAGGGAATTCGTTTAGCATGTAGTTTTTTGATTGGCAGGCGCTCTTAATAAAAGAGCTCGTTCGACTGCAACCAAAGTGGACAAAAGTGGTTATATTGGGGTTTTGGGTCTATTGGGTCATGGAAAATGAAATGGAAACTACTATAGTATAATAGGGTATATAGGGGATATATTGTTCTAAGGGGATTGGGGGATACTATGGTACCCAATATTGGGATAATGGAAAAGAAAATGGAAACTACTATAGTATAGGGTTTAGGGTTATGAGTAGTATTTTATTTGGGGATACTATGGTACCCAATATAGGGTTTAGAGATGAAAAATGAAATGGAAACTGGGATTATATGAGGGTTATTTGTGTAGTATTTTATTGGGATCGTGAATTTTCGCGAGAGTTGAGCGGGTGTCACTGGCAGCATCTGTCTGCCCAAGGAGCATCCTCGGGAGGGCTCTAACACCGGAAGGCCTTGACGTCAAACTTCACAAGGTCACTGTAAACATTGTGGGGCTGCAAACTAACGGCTTCTGCCAGTGGCTCCTGGTAAGCCCTGAGATTAGCCATCGCCAGTGCTGCAAAGCTGCATGGAAGCCTTAGCTGACAATCAAACCACGGGACATCTCATAGCTATCATCGGCTATAGCAAGCTAGATTGGCTTGAGTATTGCTGCGCATGCTCGCATTGAACATGCCACATGTAACGAGTCGCTGCCATAGGTAGCAGCTAACCAGCTTTCTGTGGTCATTATAAATCGTTGTCTGATCCAGGTTCCATGTCATTTTCCGTTTGATTCTCCCTTGGCGTTGTAATAGTACTACTACATTACCCATATAGTACCCTAGACAGTCCTAAACCTAAAGCCCTATATATCCTATGTAACACCTAAGCCCCTATAACCCGCTTAGAGGAACCCTAAATATCCCTACACAACCCCGATTTAGAACCGGCAAAGCGACCATGAATATCACCTTTCATACCCCCATAACTCCAAGCCCTAAATCCTAACCCCATGTGGTACCTTCGATTTTGTCTTTAGTCTTCCAACTAAACCCTAATATGTTCCTACATATCCCCCATGTAGCTCCCTTTCAGCTGCGACACACGTCCAACGAAGCCGCTTCCAGGCGTCCCCGCTGGCGAAGCACCAGGCCATGAACTCCTAAAAGCTGAGAGAATTTAGATTTTGTAGGTTTTTGTAGTATAGGGTCTTACGAGTCATGTAGGGATAAGGTAGGGTAGTGTAGGATTTAGGGTCTTAAGGTCTCAGCCCAGATGGGTACTACTTGGGATACATAGTTGCATGAGGTTATGTGTGGTTATCTAAGAATTATATGGGTATATTCGGTGCCCCTTTGAAGATTATGTAAGGGTTGTGCAGGGACTATATAGGGGCTTACAAGATAGTACAGGGATGTTGCACCTAATTGCAGAGAATCAAATGAAAAACAAACGGGCAATTAAATGGAAACTGGGGCTAATAACGGTTTACATTGCCTAGCGCTGGGATAGCTCAACTAGGCAAGAATGCGTAGTTTTTGGCAAGCCCTGATGGAATGCTGGTATCTTTACAGAGTTTTCTACATGAGGATGTAGCGCTTCATACATGGACTGTTATAGGAATGGAGTAGGGCAGCGCAGATCAAAAGTGCTTTACTGCGCCATGATCTCTGCTTCTGCCACTGTCATCCCATTGACAGGCCTTCTGCCACAAAGGCTTTGTTTGCTAGGCAAGTAGAACTCTCGCGAAAATCGTAGATCCTTAGCCCTAGAATGTTTGCAACAGTAGCTTCACTTGAAAGCCCTGGCCCTGAACTCTAAAGCCTCGCTCCTCCAACTGGATGAAGCCATCGCCATTGGTGTCGATGTGCCTCAGGAGCTCCTCGAGGCGCTCACCTAGAGGAGCCAACAAAAAAAATAGTTCTACAATGGGTTACATGGGCGATTGGGGTTTAGGGTTATAGGTAAAGATCATATGTGTAGGGGAATACAGGAGCCATATATCGCTTAGGTAGGATCCCTTCTGGTCACATGGGCGTAGCCTTAGCCCAAACATGATCCCAGTGTGCGTATTTGCCATTCTACTTTCCACTATTGGTACACCCATACATGTTCCTCAGGATGTGCTTTGCCAAGCCACCACGAACATCCGAGGGGTCAGCCAGCTGTTGTAGCACGGAGCGCAGCTCCTGTGAAGGAGGTTTGAGTGGGATGCATTTGAAATTCAAAAATCCAAACGCTGTTGCCAGACTGGGCTGGACTCAGGGCTGCGCGGAGCATGAGGAGTATGACTGGGTTAGCGCACATGCTCTGAGCTAGCTTTGAACCCAAAGTTGGACAGGGTTGATGTGGCATACATGTAGATGCGCAGGATATGGTCGACACGGACATAGGCCATGAGGTTACACAAGCTTGCTACTAATTTTGGATCCAGATTCGTGTGGGGTTCCGTTCGTTGGGGGTCCCTTAACGCCAAAACAAGTAATTCTGAGAACAAGTGGCTAGACTAGATAACTAATTTGCTTTGAAAAGCATGGCAGGCAGTAAGTATTTAGTTTGGGGTCCCAATCCAAGCTGCCCTTTGTTACTTAGACTAGAACCCCTTGTCCAGAGCTTCCAGAACCTCAGACCTCCGGATTTTGAGGACCTGAAAACTCCGGAATTTAAGGTTCCCAGCCAGGTCCAAAACTATCGATTTCTTATGAGACCGCTTATTCGAGGAGGCCTAGCAATCATTTTTCCTAAATAGCAGTCCAGCAGCTACCCAGATCCTCAATGATACGAATGTTCTGTGGGCCCTCAGTTATTCGTCAAATCCGGGACGGAAAAAATAGTAGAAAGCAAAAACCTTTTACTTTCAAAGGCTAAGCATTTAAAAGCCAAGCTTCCAGGACCTCAAGTTTCCGGAATTTCAAAGCTCATAACTCCGTTTTTTAAAGGTTCCAAGCCAAGTGCAAAACTATCCATTTCTTGTAAGACCGCTTATTCGCGGAGGCCTAGCAATCCTTTTTCCTAAAGAGTAGTCCAGCAGCTGCCCAGCCTCAACAGTACGAATGTTTTGGGGGCCCTCAATTATCCGTCAAATTGCGGGACCTTAAAAATAGCAGAAAGCAAAAACAACTTGTACTTTTAAAGGCTCAGCATTTAAAAGCAAAGCTTTCAAGATCTCAAATCTCCGGATGCTTTCGAGAATTCTCCTCTAAACCTTCTGAAACGTTTCTGAAAGTTGAAATCCTCTGAACTCCTCAAATCTTTCCGAATGCCTTCCGAAACGCTTCTGATCTATTACCGAAGTCGACCCTGATCCCTCCTATTGAATTTAATTTAAAGCTAGGATCTGAGCCCATCCTGATCCCTCCAATTGAATATCAATCAAAACCTCGCAACAAAATTTGTTTGATCCCTCCTATTGAGTTTTAGTTTAAACCTAAAGTCCAGGTATTGTTTGGGGGATACCCCCCTCCACTACTTGGGGACCCTTTTTTGTTTGGGGGGTGTCCGCCTGCACTAATCAAGACCCAACAAAACCTGACATAGCGGCAAACACTGCAAGAAAATGAAGCCTACACGTGTAAGTAGGAAACGTCTGCAGTTACCAAGGCATGCTTTGGTGGCGGCCAAACAGAACAGGCCGGTCCTCATGACTGACGCAGTTGTCCCTGAGCAGGTTGATTGAGACAACGCTTGCAGCTGCTCTTTGGCCCAGCAACAAATTCACCCTCAGAGATTGGGTCACTCACTCAGATTCACAAACTCACCTTGAGGAGTCAGGTGTAGGCACGGGCACTACTTGGTCGCAAGTTTTCGGGTGATGGCGCTACAAAATTGGAGCTAGCCTGTTGGCATCGAACTTCTGGAAGAGGGCCAACACCTGCTCTTCCTGCTGCAAGAGCAATGCGCAACCGCATACTGTAGCGCAAGCAGCAGCTGCAGTCAGTCCTGAAATGCCACGCTCGTCCGAGTTGAGCTCCGGTCCAGTTGGATTGACTTGTCGCTTGCAAAGGCAGATGAGCTTCTGGAGATGCTGGCCTTGAATACAAGCAAAATCATATAAACAAGGCCGCGACTCAAATAGCCTGAATGCGGACAGCAGCTCTGAAGATCTTGCCGGGCCGCATGAGAATGGTGAGTGTGCAGCGCAGGCTTTGAGCTCCCGCCGGAAGGGCTCGAAGGAGTCGGAGGAAGCGCGGGGACGCTTTCATTGAAGTGGAGGTCAGGCATCTGGGTCTCCAGATTGCCATCTAAGACCTCCAAGCCTGAAGCTCACAAGAGGCCACTAATTCCACAGCTCATCCAAACCCACCTGCTCTCTGAAGAAACCGAACCCCAGAAAAAGCCTACTGTACCCTATGGGTATGAAGCCCTGGCCTCATCTCATAACTAGATTCTAGCCTAGATCGCCATCTCATGGATAGACAAACATCTTGTCCGTAGGCCTGTTCGCTCTCGCGAAGACACGTCCGGGTCGCAAGGCATGCAGGGACGTCGGTCATACTCCTGCAAGAAGGCGGTGAGGTTGCTGTGAAGAGAGTAGGACAAATGTGAACTGCGCTACAATACACCGGTTCAACTGGTAGCAAATCAAATAATGCAAGCTCGCTAAAACTGCCCGCCACCTTGCCAAGGCAGAACTCATCTGAGGGCAGTGTATGGCTGCAGCAAGCCCCCATGGCTTTTGGAGAATGCTTCCCGAACCACAAGCGCCCACTCACCTCACTATCTCAAAAAAGTTCTAGTTCTAGGCCCCAAGTTGGTTGATGAAACGCACATACTGGTACAACTGGCAGGCACAATGACTGCTAGCTGTCTCGGGCCGATAGGATGAAAGTACATTCTTGAGCCATCTGAGCCATCTGAGCCATCAAATGCCATCAGCCATGGACAAGGGGTCATAGGTAACCTATAGTGATTATGTAGGGATAATGAGAATTGTAAGAGAAAATGGAAAATCAATTGGATACTGGTTCTTTTATAAGCCAACCAAAGCCACCGGCAAGGCTGGGGCGCACACGCGCGGTCTGTAACAGGTCTACCCACTTGGTAGTTCCATAAATGAGGGTACCACAGTATACCAAAATCCTTATTTGTGGGACCCCAAAACAGGTACCCCGAATTTTGGGAAATCTCATTCTGCCAAAGCCAGCGTAGAGTGGAGGAATGTGTGAGCCTGCTTGGAACTGTGCCCCCAGGAGGCTTGACCTGAAAACAGATTCTCCCTTGGCGCTACAAGCAAGAAAACAATTGCTAGAATGAATTGGAAGAATCAACAGCGTTTTGTAAGCCTCGAGAATACCAACGTCGACAGCTCCCTGAGTGAGCTTTGTCCGTGACCACATGAATGTGACTAGTCAAATGTGTCAACGTGCTCGGTGACATGAGCCATGAAGAGCAGCTGCACAGCATCGTTTTCGTACCGGCCTAGGGCTGAGCTTCTCTTTGGGATTCCTAAGTCTGCAAGGTTACCAAAAAGTCATTCAAAGGTTCGTCTACTCTGCTAGGCCACATATGACTGCGAGGTACATTTCGATTGCAGCTGGCGGCTACATTACCTGTGCTGTGCACGAAACATCGACTCAATCACGTGTGTGGGATCATGTGGAAACGAGAGCTGCTGGCAGCTTTCACTACAACGATTCACTAGCCTGCTATCAGCACACATGGAAGGAAGGCCGTCAGCGGCCCGTCTTTCACTCGTCATCATCGTCACCTCCAGGGGAAGGCTGGAAAAACTACTTCTGCAAGGCATCGCCCCTGAAATCACCAACGAGAAGGCCTGAAATCCTAAATCCCTTTCCGTTAAGGCCAAGTTGCCATCGTCAGTTGGCGACTCCACCTCGTAGACCCAGTACCACTGCCTACCCACAACCTGGTCCAAGGAGTAGGCTTTAGAGACTTGGGATGTATAGGAGTTGAAACAAATGGTCGAAAGATTTCCCCATTTGTTTTTAATCTTGGGCCACCAATCTTGTACCTTGATCATTCACCACTGGCCCGAGGCAAAGCCACAAAAAGATATGCAAAGCCTAGTGGGCCTAGTGGCCTCGTCTGAGCTTTTCATGCCGCCGTAGAGATTTGCAAAGATCCGTACTGAGGCTTTTGAAAGTTAGGTGTTGCCGATGACAGCCTAATCACAAGAACAAACGCAAAAAACTGAGAGGTCCAATGCCATCTAGTCTGACTAGGATGCAATTCCAAAATACGCACAGGAAGGCCTTGACTGTCATGGTGGAAGCCACAGCCTCTTCCAAGGCGTAGATGGTGGTGAAAGCCTCAACAAGGTTCACCCGCACTGAACAAGCTGCGGGATCTGCTGGCCTACGACTCTAGGCAAACGAAAGTACCGAACGATTCCTTGGGCCCTGTTTGGCAAGTGCAACAGGCAAGCTGAAGTGCAACAGCATACAGGCAGAGCAACAATGAAGAAGATACTACCCACGAGCGCAGCCTGTACAACACAAAGCTATTTGAGGGTAGAGTTGCTTCCCTTGGTATCCCCAGCTCAGTCCACATTGGGAAACTCCCAGGTTTCGGCTTGGAGGGGCCAATACTGAACAAAGAGAACGCTGCAAACTCCAGATGCCCCAAACCATCCAGGAAGCCATAGCCTCAATGGTACCTGAGCCTGAACCTGATCCCTGGAACCATGTTCTGTCAGCTCCAACCTCATGCCTATCCTTTCTGTCAACAGCTGCTGCTGTCATGGGCTTCGGCAGGAATGCACAGGCCCAGGATAATGATGGTAGGGATGTAGAAGAAAAGGTACTCAGCCTGCAGACGGTGTCTCATCTTGACATCACCGCAGGCAGCTACAAACCAGCCTTCATCAGCAATTTGTAGTTGCTCCAGATCAGGATGCGCTGGCGGGGATAAAAGGGAACGTGTTCCTGGTACAGGGCGGGACGAACATGTGTCACAAGCTGTGATGCTTTTTTACCTGTATGTGATGTCGAATCTTAAAATCCATCCGCTCTCCAAAGCCGCTGTGCCTGGTGCGTGAAGTACAGCTCTGAGATCGGCTTGGGCGGGTCTTGAGAAACAACCTGGGCAAAGAGCGTTGTGCATGTTTGACCTCCTTGCCTCGCTGGCTCAGAAACCCCTTTCGAAACATGGCTCCTGCTAAGCACCAAGCCCAGTTCTGGCCACGCTCCTGGAAGAAGCGCACTGTCAAAGCTGACAACTCACAGCAAGGCTGTGGAAAGCTGTCCTTGACCAGCTTCATGCGAGGAAAGTGATCCGTTGGGTCTGGGTCATGGTAATCCTGCATTGACAATCTTTCAGTGTCACCAGCTTTTCAATGCCAACAATCCCAATTCTGAAGGGTGGCCGCCCGCCTCAGCATCCTCCTCTTCCGGCCTGGTAGGGAAGGCAGATAAGTCTTGTACCAAGGGAGGCACATCATCTCACACATACTGCCCTGCAACTCACGCCATGACTCTCACGGCCCCAGACATACCCCAGTTTCCAAGGCCTGGTTCCATCTGGGTTGAGGTGAGCTCGTGGATCACCTCCGGATCCAAAGTGGCGGTAAGCCTCCAGGTCAGCACATGCTGAACAAGGCTTCGATTCCTTGAGAGGACTTCAGGCTTTGGGCATCATGGCGATCTTTTGAGCAGCCCCGAGGCCCTGGATACTATCTTGGACGATATCTTTTGCTCTTTGCATCGCCGTGGTCCCCACCATGGCGGGCAACCATTGGCGTGGCCTCGGAGTCTCAGCATGGCAGCCTGCTTCCTAATTGCAGAAGCCATGCCATTTGACTGAATGTCCATAGCACAGGGAAATTTTGTGCCCTGAGGCTGGTGCAGCACAGCCCTCCTCTCTCCCAGGTTCGCAACACCTGGGCCAAGGCAAGCTTGCACATGGCTAGACACTTTGCATCAAGGGATGCCCGAAGTAGTACCGCTGATCAATACCCCATACTTGGACGCCCGTATGGATCCCTTGCGCAATCTTTCATTACGGGCTTGTGATGGTGCATTGGTGACCTTGCTAAGGCAGTTGGTAAAATCCAGGTTGCGATAGCAAGTGCGGCCAGTAGCATCAAAACGAGGCCAGAAAAGCCAGCTCAGATTAAGCCCCGTTTCTGGGCTTTTCGCGGCAGGCACTGCGCAGGAGCCCCCGAGACAGCATGGCCTCGGCAAGCTGCAAATCACAGCAAACTCTCTGCAGACTGCCTCCATGCTACGAGAGTTGCTGATGTTGCTACTATCGCATGAGGTCCTGGCTCAAAGTCAAGCACCGAGCAGGAGGGGTGAAATGGGTGCAACGACTTGAGGTTGCCACGGCTGCAAAAACGTCGGCAATCGCAAGGTCCAAGCAGTCGGATTCCATTGCACGACAAATGAGACCGTTATTGCGATGCTTTGGAAGCGGGCAGTTTCGGACAACAATTTTCATCCGAAGGCCCGCTTCTGGCAGCGAAGGACTTTAGCTCATGCCTCGGCACGAGCAGGCAGCCCTCATTGTGGGGGTCATGATGGCTGTGTAGTCCCAGCTCGTTGCTTAGCATTTGCCACACCGCAGGGCCGAGGATCGCCTCGCCCGTCTTAGACTGGCGTCCCAGGCCCACCACAAGAGAGAGGTGCCCTTTTGCTGTTAAACCCAGCCGCCATCTGGCATGTGGATCTGTGATCCAATCGTCATGTCGCTTGCTGGCATGCTTCCCAAGGGCAAGCGCAACATCCAGCAAGGCTATTCGCGCTGCAAGCTTCGCCAGCTCAACGGTCTTGCCATGCAGGTCCAGGCCTTGAGCACAAGGGACCAGGCCAAGATTTTCGGCCTCCCTGTACAGCGCAATTGCCGGAGCTAATTCGCCCGAGATGACCATGGCCTCCAGCAGCTTATCCCAAATGCCTTTGTCTGGCTCGAGCCCATCCTCGCGCATGTCCTCCAGTAGCTGCAGTGCCTGGTTCCACTCACGGCACTGGCAGCAGGAGGAGATGGCGGCATCGAAACACAGGAACTCCTCGGATGCCTTTGAGGCCCTTCCAGGCGAACAGAGGAACTCAAGTACTAACTCACATGCTCGGGGAGGATTATGGCGCTTCACTTTGACATGATCAGGCCTGCTTTGACCATTGGCTGCAGCTGTGCTTCGGCTGCGCTTTTCCTGCGAAGGAATCTCTCGCATGCTGCGCCCTTCAATGAGATAAGGGCTCTGTCAAAACCCGCCTGGGGAAGACCTGCGGCAATGGGCTGCACTGCCGCCGTCGGCAGCCCTCGCGTGCCTGTGGGCCATGCTGCAAACGTCCGCAGCATCACATTGCCCAGCTGCACGGTACTTATTCGCATGCTTGACCAGTGCATCCTCCCCTCCCCATCTCCTTGGCGCCACCCACCAATATCGATGCACCTCAACAAGCATGACTTTGATCCGTGGGCAGGCTTCAATCCTGCTGTACCTCTTTCTGCCTGGAACTTATAGTGCACTGCTGCACTTGTTTTTCACGCTTTCTGATCGGATCCCCCCGAAACCAGGCCTCCAAAGCTCAAAGCTGGGGTAGAAATGGCAAGGGCGGCAAGGGAAACTCCGTGACAGGCAGCTGTGCTGCATAAAAATCACAAGTCCTGCTGTAGCGCACCTGGGACGTTCCGTCCCAGCTGGGCCCGGCGCTCAACCTGTGGCTGAGCCACACGTTGGCAAAAAATTAAGTGAAACTAATCACGCAGTGTGAAGATTCCACGCTGTTCCCTGTACAGGGTGCTCAGCACTGGCCCTGCATTGGATGTGCACCGACAGCAGCGTCTGAAATGTTAGTATTGCCTGCTGAAGATGTGCTCAACAGCCTTCAGCTTGTCGGTCCGCTGGCAGAGGCCAGGAGCACATGATGGACTCATAAGACTCTCATAGCATCAATCTGCGAAGCTATCGTGACCTCGGACGAATTATCCAACCCCAATTGGCTTGGATGCCACATTGGATCTTGATCTGGCCACCAACTCAAACATCAGATCCAAAATGCTGACCCAAGGACCACAAGATTGTTCCCTCAACTTTCCTCAACGACATGTTCATAGATTTGCGGAGAAGCTGCAAATGTGCAAGGCTCGATCCGAGAAGAGGTCCTGACAAGAAAAGGGTCTGGCCTTTCACTACTCATCCTCTTCTCTTCCGCAAGAGCTCTAAAAAGCGCTGAGCTGCCTCCCAAGTATGCAAAACTCCAACTCAACCATACTCAACCATATCACCCCAGCTTCCATTTCATTTCCTTGTTCTTTTCCGGTAGAGGGGACTCCAATATAGACTACCATCCTTTTTATGGGTCACCTGGGTCTCACCTGGACTGGCTAGGCTTTACAGCTTATCTCCATATGGGGGTTTCCCAAGATTAGGGGTACCCTTTTTAGGGGTCCCTATAATAAGGACTATAGTATTTTGGGGTCTATATTGGGGTCCCCTTATTTTGGGAAACTACCATATATCCCCAAATAGCCTCAAATGTTATTTCCACTATCCCTATATGTCCCTATATATTTCGGCTGGACTGGCTGTGCTTTTAACGTACATGTTCTTAGTAGGGAAGAAGAGAACATAATCCTCATGTAGCCCCTATCTAATGTATTCCTGTATTCCTTAAACCCCCAACCCTAAATAGCAGATTCCATTTTCCTTTCCATTATCCTCCTATATAAATCCTATAAATTGTATTCCCCTCTTCCCTGCTAAGCCCCAAAGCCTAAAGCCTAAACCCTGTATGACTTTCCCTTATTCCGTACTGACCCTAAACCCTAAATCCTAAACTCCACATTCTCTACTAACCCCCAGAAAGTTGAGCCATCCAAGCAAATGCATATGGCCCAACTGTCCCTCGGATCGGCGGAGCCCTGCTGCTTCTTCAGGTCTTCCCTGAGACTATCCTGCACGATCAAAACGACAACAGGAAGAGTAACAATAATCTCAAGAATACCAATAGTGATAGTAATAATCATGGTGATAAATTTCATAAGAATACTAGCCATAATCCTAATAATAAGTGAAAATCCATTTAAAGCTAGTTCTGATGAAGAAACACACTTGGGGCATAGGCAAACTAAGGGTATGGCGTTGTATGTCTCATTCCCTTGCAACCAATGCAACCACTTCGGTCCCCTACCACCCGCAACCATTCAAGCCAAAAAAAAAACAGAACCCAAGGCAAAAGACATAACCCCAATACTATACCCCTGTAACAATAGTTTCCATGTTGTTTAATTATCCCTCTATAACCCCTATGTAGCCTATTCTACCCTATAGGTCTCGTTCTAGAAAACTTGTGCCTGTTGGGCTGCATGGGAGAGATTCAGATTCAGTACTTACAGAAGCTCGGAAGGCTGTGATATTGAATGTTTACCACCCCGGTGCTCTTGTGTTCCAGGCCTCCAGCTCCTGAAGCGCTTTCTGCTGCTCCTGTCAGCTCAAGGCACAAAGTAGGAGACTAGGAGGAAGGAGAAGAGGAGGAGAATGGAACTGTCTTGGTTTGGGGACAGGCGTCAATGAGACTGAATAATGCGCATGGATGCTCTCAAAGATGATGGCACGATGGGTTTGGGCATGAGCGCATTTCAAGATGGATGCCTGTGTCATCCTGTGTCAGCCTTATCGTCAACCCTGAGGCGCACCCCAAGCGCACTGCCGACAGGAGCTTCTTCTGGCTCTGCTTCAGGAACCTCGCCAGCACTGCTTGCTGCTTGCTAACCAAACTCTGGCCATCAAACGATGCAGCACTGAAAGCCTGATGATGATTCTAGCAGTAAATGGATGCAGTTCAACCCGGCGATGGCGTTCTCAGGGCTGAAAGGTTGATGTTGTCAAGCAGTCGCCCAGCATCATGCAGCTGTGCTCCAGGGACCTCGACGTCCTCGACTACCAGATCCGACTCCAGAGGCCTCCGAGGCTTGTGAACCACGGTTGCAGCCAGAGGCATTTAGGGACAGACGCTGTAAACTTAGGGGACTCTGTGAGCTTCAGTATCGTGTGATTCCCGTCCACAATGACTTCTGACTGAAGGTGTGGATGGTATGCCACCTCCTACACCAGCTCTGATTTGGCACGCTTGGCTGGCATCTAGGCAACGGGCTGTTCTGCAGCATCGGCTTCCTGGCGCACCTGACTTCCACGCATCCAGAACAGGGTTGTTCGCAATACAGTGGTGCGACAGGAACAGACAAAGTTTCGGTCTCCTGGTCTCAATCTAGCCACACGATTCCCCCTCTCAAAATCACTTTAACAGGACACGAGGACCTCTCCAAAGAATGGGGCAACTGGTGACTTGGTTACTTGCAGCCATCTAGCCCAGTTGTGTCCCTGCCAGTCTGCAGGGTTTCCCGGGGCACCTCTGCGCCTGTGCCAGCTGGATCTTCTTCGCACTCAGGCCTGGGCAGGAGCAGGGTGTCTCTTACCTGCACAGACTTCCACAGGTGTCGTGCATCATTTCCGCCCATGGAAACCAAGCATAGTGGCCCATTGCTCTGCGAGCTGAAAAGCAGAAGGTTGAATCAGAACTGTTGCTGTTCGCAGACGAGGCTCTCAGGTCCCAATACCTCAGCCAGGTCTAGGTCCTTCAAATCATGCATCAGCATCTTGGTGGCCCGCGTCTACTTGTTCAACAAATGAAAGCTACACCCTGAGAGGAACTACTGCGTGGCCGGCTTGTGAATATATATATATATATAGCAAGAATCGACCCTTCAATGGCTGCTGCCCATAAGACACACATGCACACACACACACACACACTCACACTTGCACCAATGCTTGGGGGTCCTCCACATGGACAGGGTACTCGGGAGCTTCGCAGAGAGCCGCTGCCTGCAAGCGGGGAGTGCGTGTACGATGCTAAGACATTCAAGATCCAAAGCTCGGCATGGTAGACGTTCATCAGAGCTACAGTCAACATGCTTTCCCAGGCAACTCAATGGACATGGGTCCCTTATTAGGGACCACTATCCCAAACTACAAGAGGGATCCCTATGTCCACCGTTCAGGCAACCTTTATAAGGCTAATATTGACAAGCTCATCAACAGGACCAAGCCAACAGCACATCTGTACTAGTCCACGCCAAAGCGTCTGCAACTGAAGGAAGTGAGTAGCGTGCAATCTCCTTTTTTGCTCCGCAGCACCCCATGCCTTGTGCAATTGACATTCCTAGCGAATGGCAGCGTTGCGTTACGACCCGGGCATTGAAACGGCAGATTGGTTGCGTTCCCAAGCAAGCTGCACTGATTCACGCTGCGCCTAGAAAGTACTTCTACTAACCGACACCAGCATTGCAAACAGCTTGAAAATGAATGCTAGCTATCTGTAAGTTCAAGTGCAAGACCCACGACACTCCGAGGAGACGGTTAGAGGCCCTGGCTGCAGCTGTCTCACTGACAGCTTCCTCCGCAACAAAGCCTTCATGGACTAACTCCTCTCTTTTGACGGTCACTGGGCAACTGAGCAAGATGAGGGCGCAAAAATTGCACAAGCCATCGAACAGTAACAGAATTTAGCTCTGGGGGATGTCATGAGCTGGTTACCCAAAAGCCGTGAACCAGCACCGAGTCTAGAAGTCTAGATTCAAGCGCGACAGATGCGACAGCTGCCATGTGGCTCAGCCGTTCATGGCGCATGGGATTCCAAGCATGTGAAATATGGCCGGAGCCCCACACACGATGGTCCATGCCATGCTGGTGTAGACGCTGGTCTTCAGCACAGCCGCCGCAAAGAGTTCCCAGCCTTTTATCTCCTGCCTGCAGCCCTCCGGACCTTCAACCTCACTTCGAGGTACTGGCTTCCCAGGGTTTGGTTCCAAGCCGACAAGGCGCAACAGGCTCGTGAAGCAGCTCTTTAGCACCAGTCTTGCCAGGAGGAGAATGGAAAAGCCTATTACCACACGCAGCGCAGCAGCCGCAACACTCTGCACTGGCTCAGTCTGGAAGGCACTTGCTGTGCGGCGCTGCGACTCCATACGAAAACCGATGGCGCAGCCCAGAATGAGGCCGCAGCAAGTGCAGTTCTGCAGGAAAGTCGGTGTCATCGGCCGTGGCTGCGGATTCCTTGGCTTCACGGAAGCAGCAGAGCCGCAGAGGGCATCAGAAGCTCACCCTGCTACATCCTGCCCAACCATGCCCAACCCGTCCTGCCATTCCAGCAAGTCTCAAGACCAGCACGAATGAAGCAAAAGCCGCAAGCAGGAATGCCGCGTACGGAGTTCCCAGCATGAAGTCGTCGAAGGCATTTGCAAGGTTGTACACCAGGAGAGCCACAACCAAACCAAGAATCATACCTCCCTTCACATCCATGGGGGAATGCACTCCAAGGTACAACCGACCAAAAGAAACAGAGAAGATCCAGCAACCGGCAAGCAGCCCAAGCAAACCGCCAGAGATGGCGGTACCATGGTAAAAGCCATATAGGACTGCAAAGATCGCATTGCTAACCTCGAATGACACTCCGCGGTGTTCATGGTGGGCATCCTAGCGTATCCACAGGCATCCTGTAGGTGCCTTGGACATGAAATCTTCCATCAAATCAAGCAAAGGTGCTGAGTTCATCGCGTGGGTAGAGGGAAAGCCAAAGTCACGGCAAGCAGTAGAATCGATCTGGGAAGCGCTCGACGGCACCCAAACCTCGACGGGTGGGAAAAGAGGTGGTGTCTTGCATCAATTCATGCTCTTTGAAGTTGCCTGATTGCTTTGACTCTGAATCCCGGATTGCTCGCGTTCTACACTCCCGGCCTTGGAGTTTACGTTCCGCGGCCGAGGTAGCCGAAACACATCCTGTTCGAAGGTCAGCGCCAGCCAGGGTTCACTTCAAGTTCTAGGAGCAAATCAGCGTCGAGATGGTGAAATGCAGAATTCCAGGATGCAGCAAGACCGGCGACCACATCCCCACGGGCCTTGAGCAGATTGCCCCACACCAAGCCGAAACAGACAACATAAGTCATATGACCTTACAGGTGCAGCAGGTATGGTGCATTCGCTCGCACCAGGAGGTTGCACTTTAAAAAGCTACGCGCTTGCAATAGGTGGGTGTTCCGAGCTGACCGGGAATTGCCACCTGCTGAAAAGCTCACAAAATTTGTTGCCCTGACAAGATGCGTGCAAATCTATAGTCGCCACACCAGAAAAGAAGCGGCAGTGAGAGCAGGTAGAACTCCTCTTCTGCAAAAAAGGACCACAGCAGAAAGTAGCGGTCCAGAGGTTTGCAGCCTGGCTTCAGCGCTTGTACTTCCATGTTTTTGAAAGGAATCACTTAACACATTCTCACCATCTGCAACCTGTTTGAAACTCCAAGCTGCGGAAGGTTTCCTGCAACCGGCAAACGCTCTGAGCACCCTCCTGCAGCAAGAACTGAGCACCGTAGCAACTTTCCTAAGAATTGACTGTTCAGGGAAACACAGGCAAGGGAGCAGACAGATTCCTTGACCCTCTCATGCTTTCGGGTACGGCTGCTCTCCACGTTCGCATCCAAGTGTAGCCAAGCTATCGGTAGCGCTACCGATGAGGCAAAAAGTTCCTGAGCTGCTGAATTGGAGGAAGACCAAATGTCGCTTTTTGCAGGCAAAGTAAAGTGCTGCAAAGGCTCTCTAGCTCGGAGCAGAGCAGCGTCCACACCTCAAAGAAAACACCATGGGTAGGCTGCATACTATGGCTGCCTCCATTCTTTGAGATCTCCTCAGCACTTGGCTAGGAGAGATGAAGAGTTCATCCTCCACCCTCAGCACATCCAGGGGCGGCTTCACAAGCTCCTCCTTCTGACGCTTGCTCGGGGTCTCCTGCAGCTTTGGCTGCTGTTCGGCTTGGGTTGCAGGAGGATTTCCTCCGGGCTTTTGCAAGGTTTGTCCTTGTTGCAAATGTCAATCGCTTGTCCGACCTGCTTCAGCTGCAAATACAAACCCTGGAACACAGCTAGCTGCAAGCTTCGGCTCCCTCACTTGAACTCTGACTGACTGATGCACCTAATTCTGTCCGCAATGATACTAGTGATGGTAATAATCCCAAATGAGTTCTGAAGCAGTTTCGCCTGCTTCAGATGAACAAGATCTTCAGCAGCACCTCCCTGCATTAGGCGAGACTACAGCAGACAATGTGGTAGTTTCCCTAAATGGGGGACCCCAATGTAGACCCCAAATACTATAGTCCTTAGTATATGGACCCTCAAAAGAATACCACTCATTTGGGGAAACCCCCGTGTAGACTACGGTGTCCTTGAGCCGGGCGCATCCAAGCGTGAATCATTTCGGAACAGACCAATCTCCAGAACTCATACTATGATGTTTACTATTGTAATTGCTATTATTAGTATTGTTAATATTGGCATTATTAATATTATCATTATTATTATTGATACTAATATTATTGGCCATCATTATTGTCTTTATTATTGGTATCATTCTTGTTTATTGCTATTATTATTGATACCGATATTACTAGTCATACAGTTATTACTAATTATTATTACTGACTAATGATACTATTATTGCATGCCAAATCAGATCCAGTCCAGCAGCCTCTGAAGCTTCTGCGCGCGAGCCCTTCCAGGCAGCCCCGGGGCTTATGGCTGAACCCTGGAAAGCCTCCGTGCCTTACAGCCCACCTTTCGAAGCCTCATGGAATCTAATAAGGTCAAGTCCAAATCAACAGCTGTACTTCGGGTCTCTGATCAACTCAAATGAAGGCAGTCTGTGCATCTTGGCGCAGCTCCGCTTCTCATCCCTTCTCCTCTCTTGGCGGGCCTTCCGTCTATTCAGAAGGTGCCAAACCGCGGCCAGCAGCCAAACCTGGTGGTCATGCAGGGTATCAAAAATGATGGATGGCATGTCATGCTCTCTGGTGGTAGTGTCTTGCTGCTGTCGCATTTGACTTGAATGACTTGAGTGACTTGAGAGGAAAGCAGAAAGGAGTGCAAGTAGGTGTCGCACAACTACTGTGCCGCCGAGGAAAGCTGGCAGCGCAGCATACCACACGAAGGCCATCAAGATTGGCTTTTTGCAAGTAGATATTCCTAGCTGTCCCCTGAAAAGCTCAGAAGCCACCAGCCAGAGTGCGGACGGTTCCGTTCTTGCTGAAAAGATGATCACATACATATCTGCTGAGCCAAGAGAATTGCGGGCCACAAATCCGGGTAAGTCAAAGGAAATTCCCCATCAGCTTCAGCAGCCAGAGCATTTCCCACACCCCTAACATCTATTGCCTACGTAGTGGTAGTTGCCTTTTGGGGGGGTGGGGTGCTTAAGCTGAGTGCTCCGGTAGACTCCGGGGATCCCTCGAAAACAGACTACATAAAAGCCGGGAAGATGGCGCAGGAATGGCGGTGAAGCGCCCACCGCTCACGCTATGCCGTAGAAGGCTCAGCATTCCAACGGGGTTGAGATTGGGAATTCCCGTCTGCTGTCGCTGCAGCTTGAAGCTTGCGCTTGAGTTGCACAGTTGCAACATGGATGGGGTTGCCAGCTTGAACATTGTCCGTCAGATGCCAGGGCAGCGTCGAACTTGCTGAGGCAGACATGCGCAGGTCAGAGCTTATGTCACTGCAAAAAGGGTACAGGGCTGGCAAACTCCGATTTTGCATGCTCCAGGTAAGGAGATATCTGCAGGAGCCTCATCCTGGAATCCTAGTTCCTGGAGCGGTGTCCTAGCCCAACTAATGCAAATTCCTTGAAGCAGCTTCTTGAAAAATTATCCCCTGGGACCCGCTCAGGATCTACAAGGCCCCTCTTCAGCTCGGCCACTCTCGGCCACTGTGGCCAACTGCGGAAAACTGGCCTCTGCCCTGGCTCTGGGCATCTCAATGTGTGTACTACAAAGAGGCTGCTTGCATCTACGTCCGGCAGGTCCTACACTCCTGGTAAGGCAGTGCACAAACCCAGAGCAGGTGTTGCCAAGGATGGCAGCCTCGTGTGAAACGATTTATTCTTGCAAACCTTGCCGCAACCCTGACATGAACATATGTGAAACCAAAACAACGAAAGTGCAAAGCATATTCTCTGCAAGCGGCCCTGCTTTGATGACTTGAGCAAGGCAAGCCAACAGGTACGTGTACGATCACAACTTACTTGTGAGAAGTACCAATAAGTTCGCAGAGTTTGCAGGGTTTGTGCTTCAAGGTTATAATCAAGCCTTTTCACTGGCCAAGGTCCTCTGTCACTTGGCTGGGCAAAGGAGTTTCAGGCTCCCAGTCCTTTCAGGGTGGAAACCCCAGGCTCAAGAAATGTGTGTGTGTGATGAAATGTACTTTGCTGCATTCTACTTGCCAAGACTCCACCCTACATCGCCAATTGTAACCGTCCACTTCGTGGATGCGGCCATTGCTTCTCTCCACAGTCTCGCAAGGTTGTCTCACCAGCTGTTAAAAGTGAGCATTCCAGTTGCTCAGCAGTGCAGTGTCACTTTCAGCAAAATCTTCGATACCACGCTAGTAGAAATGTGTATTGCCGGCGAGGGTACACCATCAAGCTTGTGAAAGTAGCGCACGCGGAAGGAGGGCATTCCATATAACGACTGACTTTGACCTCCTGATGTCTTTACCTGTAGCAGCTTATAGCAGCTTGGTGAACTGGCAGCCGAGTGAACTGAAATTCAGACTGTCAACTTGCTACTCTGCTTGCATAGCTTGCATTGCGAACCCTACACCAATCCATGCAACAACCATACACCTCAGTCCCAAACTTATTTGAGGCCCTGCAAACTGAAAGTCTCTCGACGCACCCGCCCCAAGTCTACGTGCGCCCAGTGGCATTGGCCCAGACTCGGCTATATGGATCCGGCGTTGCAAATCAAGTATTGCGCCAAACAAAGCGACAGGTGACAAAACCATGGATATTGAATGCCCTTCTGCTGAATCTCTTAAGCAACTGCAGGACCCGCACGATGTGAAGTAGATGCTCTGCATCCATGTGCGACCAATGCTTTGCATTGCCGGGGGGGAGTTACTCGAATCTCGGACAGCTTGCTGCAGGCTGGCCAGCAGGCCAAGTCTATGCTGAAGGATGACACAAGCTTGAGGCTCTCGGGGGGCAGCATGCTGTCAGCACCCTTCGCGCAAGTTTGATGTCACCGTTTGTGACTCTCGCGCAGGAAACCTGGAACAGCAGAACGTTGGCAAATGGAAGCGCATCTACGTCATTGTCATGATGCTGTTGCAGCTAGACAGCTAGACTGGGGCCATCACCCAGATCGAGGATTTGGAACTTCTGGCCATTTCTGACGAACCTTGGTCGACCCAACTAAGTCACTAGCTTCTCCGGGCCAAACTATGCCAAATTAAAAGCAAATTGGGAACTTCTCAAAATTGAGCTCCTCCGATTCAAACGAAAGAATGAGATCCTTTTTACCATCCAGCCCCAGATATCAAAGCTAGAGCCGGCCCGCACCGGGCAGCAGACATGAAAATAGTGCCACGTGTGATTAAACTGGGCTCTTCTCAGATGATGGGCCCACTTTTGCTCGGTAAGCTCCTAGTTGAAGGAAAAGCCCGACCCCCGCCTGATTAGAAGCCCTCACAGCCTCTCCGAGGGGAGCACTTGTTGAGCTTTCTGTGAGAGGCCCGCTCCACAAATGCCTTGCAGTTCAGCTGTTGAGAGACTAAGAAGCTGAATTCTGACGGGTCCGAGCCTCGCTTTCATTGTGCTTCGTGACAAGCCACAACTCTCCTCCCGAGACTGCCGCAGATTCATGCTCAAGCTTCCACACCGGGCATTTAGTATGACCAACTTGCTGACGCTCTAGGCATAACTCGCCCGAGTTGTTGAGACGTACAAGCTTCCTAAATGGGCATGGCGATTCAGCACAGAGCTCAGCAAACACTTGGTATGATCGGCCTTTCATCGACACGTCCAGGATCTCCGCCACCTTCAAGCCCTGAGACACGCGGCTTACTGCACGGACATGCTCCTCTGCAGTCAAATTGGCTGCTATTATAGCAGACACCGCACATGGGACCAGCCCATAGCACTTGCTCTTCAGGCGTGCTTTGCTATGTTGGATACATCAACCATGAGCAGGAATCTGCATCAAAACATAATGCGCAAACACGCACGGCAGATTTGTTGCAAAGCGTCTCTAGAAATGCTTGTCGTGCTTTCTGCTCTGTAGGAACGACCACTTTGAAGAAGGATGTTGATTGTCAAGTTTGCGGGGTAAATGAAGCAAAGGTTCCTGATCTTGCTGACTTTTACATTCGACAGCACCTGTTTCTACAACTCATGAGGTCCCGTCAAAACCTCAGACCTGAATGACAACACATGTCAACAATCTGCCTACCCCAATCTAGGCGAATGTGGCTGGGCAATCGCGCTGAACGTTCAAGCTTGACATTTCCCTTAGCCAAGCACATATACATTGGCCCTTCATGGCTGCAACTTCACCATGCATCCTGTTTCTGTGTGCACCCCTCAAACTCCTGCAAACACAGGCAGCTGCAGAAGAAATCTCACACGTCTCCTGAACCGGCCTGCCTTGATCGTGTCAATGCGGACATGAACAGATGTCGCCACAGCAGACGCAGACTGGCCACAAGCTGGACAAAAGGCAAGCCAACAGTGCTCTCGACTGCAGAACGCAGGGGGAAGGGGCTCCTGGACTCGCCTCACATTGGAGCTTTAGAGTTGTAAGGGTCCCGCGTTGACAGGACTCGCCGTTGCTGGCTCATGTAAGATTACCTTCAGATGCCCCTTGAGAGCCCTTTAAACGTAAAACCTGAGTCACCTCTACAACCGCATCCTTGCCATCAGCACATAAACATGGAGGCCAGGGCCTCCGGCCACAGTTCGCGAGAACAGCGGTATATCTCCGCCAGAATACGCAGGCCTGACTAAGACAGAATATTGTAGGGTCCCACAGGTTGTTGCGAAAATGAGCACTGCAAACCTGAATCTTCCGAAGCCTAGGGAATCTGATAGCTTTGCCGGCAGCTCTCCTGCAGCCTAAGTCTGAGCCCATTGCGGAGCACAGCCCAGTCAGAACCTCAGATGTTCAGCAGGTGCTAAGCTTTTCAACCACCCCAAAAAAACGAGACCCGGCCATGAAGAATCCCTACTTGTTGATTACGGTCCTTTTAGAAGTGAG